CACGCAAAAGCCACCCTCGTATAACACTAAAACCCAAAATTCCACAAAAAAGCGTTTACAAAACCTGAAACGCATTTCAACACCCAAGGTGTCTTTAGACTATCGCTCTATAACTGAGATCACTGTGGGTATCAAAATGAGTTGTAGCTTTTTTAAAGTTTTTATGTGTAATTTCAATTTTCATTTAATATTTATTCACTACAATTGCACAATTTTCTTGTGTTACTTTTAAATGTTTAAGAAAGTAGCAGTAAAGTTAAAATACCTTAATTTTAAATGCTCTCTTAAACCCTGATGCAAAAAATCCCCCAAATGGTCCAATTACACTACTAAATACAGACAGGAAAAAGGAATGTAAAACAAACGGATACAATACTATGCTATCACCAAAACCAAACTAAAAAGAGATAACAGAAATGAGATTATTACTGACATATTTTTTTAATATTATGTACATACCAGCTTTGATATGTTTGATAAAAATTGAGGTAAATTGTACTCTTTAGGAACAAACATTTCTCCTGGTTGGCACTCCAAAGTCATTCTATCTTCTGCTTCGTCGTATTGTACAGGGCATACAAAATATTTGTAGTTACAAAAAATGTGGGATATCTGAAAATATGTAGATGAAAAAAGTCAAATAAAAACTGTAGGAACATGCTTAATTCATGAAAATATTATTTCTCAAAGAAATATTTTGCTTCAAACTCAGCTTTTAATAAACTATGATTTTTAAAACTTATTATATATTCTATAACCATAATTTAACTTACTATCATCCCAAAGATTATTGTACTAATTCCAGCTCCAATAAAACCTTCCCATGTCTTCTTTGGAGATAACTGTATCAATGGAGTTTTGCCATACAATTTTCCAAACACATATGCCATCAAATCATTACAACATACCATTAATATGGGAACAATAAACCATATAATTCCTTCAAATAGGTTTTGAATGAACGCATGTGCAATGCTTACCACAATTAACAAAGTTATATGAGTCCAGAAAAAAAGTGCAAATTGTCTGAGGTAATAACGCTTTACAAGGCTTAGCACAAACCATACAAAGCCAACCAAATACAAAGTTAAAGAGATTAGTTTGTGATAGGTAACCAAGAATTGTAGAAAATCCTAAAATGTTATGCTGGTCAATTTAAGAAAAAGTAACAGAATTTAAGCAACTTACTGTTCTACTTAAGGCTACTCCAAATGAATCTATAAGAAATTCCCCATAAAAGAAATAATCTGAAGTAATTAGAAAATACCATGACAAAGATCGAAACCAGGGTAAGCCATGGGCCCTGTATACTGCATATCCTATATTAATTATTTCTGAAAAGGCTTTGACTTGAACTACCATAATCTAAAAGTTTTCAGTCTCCAATTAATTGTGATTAACTTTTTCAATACAAAATAGCTTACAGTTATTAACATAGTTAGCGGTCCCCCATAGATAACCAAACCCAAAAGGGAAAACATTATTATTGCTGAAATCCCTCTTACTACCCATACTTTTCCTTTTTCTGGAAGGCTCTGAACAAATTTTTCCAAGACAGCAGGTGTTCTTTTACTTCCTGATGCAATCGTTTCTGATAGGTTCACCTTCCTTTTTTCCAGAATTCCATCATCAGTGTCAATCTAAAAAATACAATTTTGAAAAACTTATTTAAAAAAAATTGCTATTCAAAGGCATGTGTAAAGATTAATAACAAACTCAAGATGTATGTTATTAATGAGGGCATTAAAATATGATGAAAATAGTTCGTTTATAACTTACAATAACTCAGAAATAAACTAATACATACTAAAAAACATATTTTTTAACACTTACATAGTCACTTTCTGTTGACTCTACGGCTTTCCCATTATCTACGTTTTTTCGTGGTCGTAAATTCGACATCTTTTACTTTTTCGATCAACCTTCTAGCATTTTTAATTGCTTTAGTATTTATCATTATTTTTCAAACATCTGCAAACATTAATTTTGTTATCCTTGTTATCTACAAAAAACAATTAGCAATATTGACAGCAGGTAGGTGGTGTCATCATTTGGCATTACAGTAAGCTAAGAAAATTAGCGCGAAAACAGCAGAATATAAAATCTAGCCATTCAATCTTCTTTTAAAATAAATTTTCTTTATACGGTTAAATCAATAATTAATAAATTGCTGTTTTCCTTTTTAATTTTTCTAAAATATTCAAACTAAAAATGGACTTTGTAATCAAGTGCGTACTTCAGTATTTGGAATTTCAATCTTCTAGATAAAAAAAGATAAAAAAGCGAGTTATCNGAGGAGATTATGTTGAGAAATAAAAAAAAAAAATTTTTAAAAACCTTGTTTTTCTTGGTCAGGCCGGAAACTTATCAATCCACCCTCGTATAACACTAAAACCCAAAATTCCACAAAAAAGCGTTTACAAAACCTGAAACGCATTTCAACACCCAAGGTGTCTTTAGACTATCGCTCTATAACTGAGATCACTGTGGGTATCAAAATGAGTTGTAGCTTTTTTAAAGTTTTTATGTGTAATTTCAATTTTCATTTAATATTTATTCACTACAATTGCACAATTTTCTTGTGTTACTTTTAAATGTTTAAGAAAGTAGCAGTAAAGTTAAAATACCTTAATTTTAAATGCTCTCTTAAACCCTGATGCAAAAAATCCCCCAAATGGTCCAATTACACTACTAAATACAGACAGGAAAAAGGAATGTAAAACAAACGGATACAATACTATGCTATCACCAAAACCAAACTAAAAAGAGATAACAGAAATGAGATTATTACTGACATATTTTTTTAATATTATGTACATACCAGCTTTGATATGTTTGATAAAAATTGAGGTAAATTGTACTCTTTAGGAACAAACATTTCTCCTGGTTGGCACTCCAAAGTCATTCTATCTTCTGCTTCGTCGTATTGTACAGGGCATACAAAATATTTGTAGTTACAAAAAATGTGGGATATCTGAAAATATGTAGATGAAAAAAGTCAAATAAAAACTGTAGGAACATGCTTAATTCATGAAAATATTATTTCTCAAAGAAATATTTTGCTTCAAACTCAGCTTTTAATAAACTATGATTTTTAAAACTTATTATATATTCTATAACCATAATTTAACTTACTATCATCCCAAAGATTATTGTACTAATTCCAGCTCCAATAAAACCTTCCCATGTCTTCTTTGGAGATAACTGTATCAATGGAGTTTTGCCATACAATTTTCCAAACACATATGCCATCAAATCATTACAACATACCATTAATATGGGAACAATAAACCATATAATTCCTTCAAATAGGTTTTGAATGAACGCATGTGCAATGCTTACCACAATTAACAAAGTTATATGAGTCCAGAAAAAAAGTGCAAATTGTCTGAGGTAATAACGCTTTACAAGGCTTAGCACAAACCATACAAAGCCAACCAAATACAAAGTTAAAGAGATTAGTTTGTGATAGGTAACCAAGAATTGTAGAAAATCCTAAAATGTTATGCTGGTCAATTTAAGAAAAAGTAACAGAATTTAAGCAACTTACTGTTCTACTTAAGGCTACTCCAAATGAATCTATAAGAAATTCCCCATAAAAGAAATAATCTGAAGTAATTAGAAAATACCATGACAAAGATCGAAACCAGGGTAAGCCATGGGCCCTGTATACTGCATATCCTATATTAATTATTTCTGAAAAGGCTTTGACTTGAACTACCATAATCTAAAAGTTTTCAGTCTCCAATTAATTGTGATTAACTTTTTCAATACAAAATAGCTTACAGTTATTAACATAGTTAGCGGTCCCCCATAGATAACCAAACCCAAAAGGGAAAACATTATTATTGCTGAAATCCCTCTTACTACCCATACTTTTCCTTTTTCTGGAAGGCTCTGAACAAATTTTTCCAAGACAGCAGGTGTTCTTTTACTTCCTGATGCAATCGTTTCTGATAGGTTCACCTTCCTTTTTTCCAGAATTCCATCATCAGTGTCAATCTAAAAAATACAATTTTGAAAAACTTATTTAAAAAAAATTGCTATTCAAAGGCATGTGTAAAGATTAATAACAAACTCAAGATGTATGTTATTAATGAGGGCATTAAAATATGATGAAAATAGTTCGTTTATAACTTACAATAACTCAGAAATAAACTAATACATACTAAAAAACATATTTTTTAACACTTACATAGTCACTTTCTGTTGACTCTACGGCTTTCCCATTATCTACGTTTTTTCGTGGTCGTAAATTCGACATCTTTTACTTTTTCGATCAACCTTCTAGCATTTTTAATTGCTTTAGTATTTATCATTATTTTTCAAACATCTGCAAACATTAATTTTGTTATCCTTGTTATCTACAAAAAACAATTAGCAATATTGACAGCAGGTAGGTGGTGTCATCATTTGGCATTACAGTAAGCTAAGAAAATTAGCGCGAAAACAGCAGAATATAAAATCTAGCCATTCAATCTTCTTTTAAAATAAATTTTCTTTATACGGTTAAATCAATAATTAATAAATTGCTGTTTTCCTTTTTAATTTTTCTAAAATATTCAAACTAAAAATGGACTTTGTAATCAAGTGCGTACTTCAGTATTTGGAATTTCAATCTTCTAGATAAAAAAAGATAAAAAAGCGAGTTATCTTTTCACATTACATTACAAAAATTACTAAATGTTATCATTTGCTTATGTCGTGCTGTTTTTTATTATTAGAAAAAAAACAAATCATGATTTAAATAAAGCATTAATTAAAATGCGTTTAGTATAGAAACAATTTACTATTAATTGTATAAACTACTAACTACTCTACTACTTTAGAAATATTTGTAATTATATTTAGGATAACATTATAAAAGTTTTGAAAGGAATTAAATTAAATAATAAATTAATGTTATTGATTTGTTATTTCTGAAATTGCGGCATCTAGCAGGCAGTAGTTTAACAGATAATAAAAAAGAAGAGATTTGAAAACCTTCCTCGACCTCAATAGATTTAAATCTTCACATAAGGGTAAAATCCCTTCTTGCGGAGTTTAGTAATTAATTGTATTTCAAACGTTTAACTTGAGATTGTCGAAATTAACAAATTAATGGCAAATATGTTTATAAATTAATTCTTGGATAATGGAAATAAAATAATATGAGTAAAATATTTGCTGTTATAAAAGCAATTATAACGCGCCTAGTTTTCGCCGGTCATGGTGTTATAGCTGTTTGGCAAGTAACAATTTTCAAAAAGAATACCATTTTCTGGTACCTCACGTCTCCAATCATACTTTTATTTTTTGAGGGGCTCTTTACTTTAACTGTAAAAGAAAATCAAGAATGGAAATGGTAGGTTTATATTTTCTTCCTTATTACACCACACATTTAATTTTCTAAAGTTTTCCACATTTTTTTTCAATTTCTATTTTTTGATACTTATTTTATTCTAAAAATAACTCAATTTTAGAAACTAATTGAGCATTTGATAATGTTAAAAATAAGTACACATAAAGTTAGCAACTTTTGTCGGTAAAAAAAATTGTTAAATTTCATTGCTCATTGTTTTGTATTTTTTTTTTATTTAGAATTACATAGGAATTATTACATACTTTTACCACAGTATATTTAAAATTTCCAAATATAAATATGTAAATTACTATTATTTACTAAAAACTTAAGGCTCATTAGTTGTCATTTAAATTTTTAAATTTCTGGTAGGTACTAATTAAAAATCCATAATGGTTTAAGTCCAACTACAGCACAAATTAAAACAATTTATAATATTTTCAGCCAACCTCGTTTGTTACGTTTAAAGAATTCGACCTCGATATATATGTACAATTTTTTTTTTTCATATTAGAGTTCTAATGATGTTTCCTTTTGAATTCCATTTACTAAAAAGCAATTCATTTCCGCCAAATAACAAATCAGAATCGCGTTCTAGTTTTTGAGAGAGCTTTGAGCTTTAGCTCATTTCCACCTTTGACAAGCCGTTTATAAACGTTAATTCATGACAGCAATTTGTGTATCATTCAAATCACGACAGGAAATAAATACAGGGTGTTTTACTGTATCTGTTCTCTTGGAAATACTAGCACGATTTGAAGGAATTAAACATAAGCTGTGATGTTAATTAGAATATAATTAATTAATAAGTAAATAATTCAATGTTGAATTGGTGTTTCTATTTTCCATTATGGGAATTTTAGTGTTTAGATTACACGGCAACTGGTTCGCCTTACGGCATCTTCAGCAATCGTAAATTAAAAATAGAAACGACAATTCAATATCAACAACGGTAAATTTTAAGTAATTTTTGTACGAAAATGATCCGAAACAAAACAATTGTTGAAACTATTTCTCGCTTCTCTATTGAGCTAAAATGTAAAAATAAATTATTACCCACTTATATTCAAAAATAAATTTATGGTAACCTCTAGCAACAATTCGGTAAAATTGCATATGAATAATTTATACTTCATCTGCTTCAAAGCATACAAGAATTTGTAATTAAATGTTATAACTGCGCACTACGTATTTTGTTTTTGGCAGAAATTCAAACAGAAAATAAGTTGTAGTAGGCATTTTCACAAAAACTTAAAGAAGAAAATTTGATATTAATACATTAACCAGTATAGCACACAAGCTATTCAATCCCAAACGTGTCATTAGTATGTAAAATAAAAAGCGAAAAATGCTGTATCAGTTATATTAAAGCCAGTGCTGTATATGTATTAAACACAAAATGCAATCATAAATCCTTTTAATTTCCGCATTCATAAAATGGAGATCAGAAATTTAACTCAAAAACATATTTATTTTGTTCCTATGTCACGATACACTAATAATAATTTAAATCGAACCTCGATAAGTCGAAAACCTCCAAAACTCAAACAAATGTATTTGTTCCCTTCCCTTCAAGCCCCAAAACCTCCATTACTCGAAATCTCCACCCTCTATTAGTCAAAATAATCAGTGAGTTTTTTTTCCCTCTAGAACTCGAAAGATTAAATTGGACCTCTGTATCTCGAACAAAGCAATGTTTTATTTTACATCTCGATAATTTGAAACTTATTACGTCTATAATTCGAAAAAAACTTTTATTTATTTCACCTCTAACTCAAAATTAATAAGAATAAATCTTAACCTCTACAAGTCGAATCAAAATCCGCCAAGTCAAAATCCTCCATGAGTTGTAAACTCTACAACTCGATTTTTTTAGCGTCTCCCTTGATGCCTTGATGTTCGCGTTATAGAGGTCCTACTGTAACAACTTATTAAGAAATTAAAGAACTAATTGAAATTAAATTGGTTATCATTTTTTAAGGTTTTGTCCTTCGGTTTTTCTGTATCTGGCAAGCGTGGTGCCCGCCATTTGGCTCCTTGAACTCGACAAAGTTGACAAGCGTTTAAAAACCCGTGAAGAGACGTTTAATTTGACCGCATCGGCCGAGGCAAACTTAAAAGATTTAAAAAATTTAATAGGCGTTCAAATTCAGTTACCGGACATCTCGCTCAGTACTGAAACTTGGATAAGTCTCGTCGAACAATTTCTCATGCTTATCCTCATAATCGGACGATGGATGTTGCCAAAGGGAGATCTTACTAGAGATCAATTGAGTCAACTTTTACTAGTATACATAGGTTATACATAAGTTTTTATTTGAATTTCGAAATGCGTAATACGATTATAAAGATTTTAATTGTAGGAACTGCGGCCGACATAATTGAATTTTTTGATTCGTTCAAAGATGATAAGGTCGCATCAGAGCCAGTCTTGGTTCTACTTACATTGTCGATTTGGTAAGCATAGTGCTTAATTTGGATGTGTATGTATGTATGTGAGTGTATTTTTATAGGACTTGGAGTTTAATGCAATTTACTGTAGTTCTTACTGCAACGAAGTCGAGAAAGTCGCGAATGGCATCTTCCGGAAATATTGTAAAAAAGTAAGTTATCTACTTGCTCGGTGGTAATAGAGCAACAAACAGACTAAAAGACAAATAAATTTGTAGCATCCTAAGTATATCAGTATCAGTTAAAGAAACAGGGAGTAAAAGTTTAAGACATTTAATTTTTCGTAAAAATCTCGACGTCTAGGGATTTGAAAAGTTCAGAGGTATCAATATTACACACCGAACTAAACATCATTTTCTACATGACAAAGCTTACGTTGATAAAACCCAAGATCTGAGGCGAAACGTCGGTGTGGCTTTACAATACGTAAAAATAAGTGAAAATCTTATTCACTCTAATAAGTTGCGAATTTTGCATATTAAAAAAATTTTTGAATAAAATTATTACATCCAGGAAAATTACTTTAACAAAATATCTTAGGTCTGATAAAAAACTAGATTTTCACGAAAAGCTGAATTTTCACGTAACAAACATTGTTATGAAATATTATTATTGTGAAAATTCATTTCTGAATTTTTTACCCATTACACACTACCTCAAATTAATGAGGGAAAAATTGTTGCTGTTGACACACCCCCGCCGGGAATCGAACCCGGGACCTTTGGCTTTACGCACCAATGTTCTGACCACTAAATTCTGGTAAAATTTTATTTTAGTACTAATTCATGTTGCACAATCGACGTATGGGGCATAGCACTGAATATAACACTTCAGGATGCACCCTTTTTGGTTTTCCGTCTTCTTCTTATCACCCATTTCAAAATAATATCCTACATGAACGTATTTTTTACTTGTAAAAATACGCTCGTCATTCTTCTTCAATTGTATCGTCTCTACGTGGTCTACAGCGAATTTAAAAAGCAAACCAAAAAGAATAACTTCAATTTGACAAGCATATCCATTATTTCTAAGCCCAATATATACGGGGAGAGAACGCCCAGAATGAAAAAAAGAGAAAAGGTTCATAAGCATAACAAGAGATACGTTGTTAGCGACATTTCTTCTGAAAATTCGGAAAATTACAGCGAGACTTGCGATTTTTCAGACCGGGAAAGAAAAAGCAGGTAAAATCCTTACTAGCTTTAATTTCGTTTCGATTGTTCTTGCTGTAACTTTTAGGAAATGTAAAACTACTAGAAAAGACACCGGCTATTCGACTGGAAGTTCGTTTACTAGTAATAAAAACAAACAGAGAGATCAAAGATCAATCAAGAAACAAACTACCGATTACTCCAAAGCCAAAAACCATTCTAGAAGTTCTGATCATTCGCCTTCAGACTACAAAAGTAAGAAAGGAAAGCAAAAGCTTCAGAGATCAGATAGAGACACGAGAGGTCATAAACGGATCGAAGAAGAGTCTGAAGAAACTCAGTCGAATTATTCTTTCGAATCAATGGATTTAGAAGCTTCAAATCTGCGAAAAGAGAAAGAAAGAAAAATGTCGAAAAGTCGCAGTATGAAAGACATCACAAAAAAGCACAAAAAGTCAAAGAATTCGTCGAACAGCTTCAGTGATCCTTCAACTGAATGACGCCATGGTTTAGCCATTGGGGCCATTTTTATCCTCTACATATTTATATTTGTATGTTGTCTGTTGTTTATATATGTTGCTATAAATACAGAAGGTTTGATTATAGCCAAAATTATAAGAAAACGCAATAGCACAACTGTAAATAAGCCTTTAAATGTTGTTAAAGAAATGTAATGTAATACCTAATAAAATTTTCGGTGTAACTGCGATTTTATGGTCAATTTCCAAACAATTATAATTGATTACGATTCACGCAAAAGCTACCAACTTCGAACTTTTACAATATATTGATCGATAGTAGATATGGGTTTGTATCCAATTTCCAGCATGATCTTTAAAATTCGGTTTGGTACCAGATAAAGGTACTGCGTACCTAGGCAGTTACTGTATTTAAAAAATTAAACTGAGAACTCAAGATATACCTACTTTAAATTGTTGAACAAGTAGGATTTGATGACACAATTACCCCCACAATTACTATGTACTTAAATGTGTCATATAGAAATTATCTACATGACCTATAATAATTTGTTTGTATTGTCTTCTATAGTCGCAGTAAGTTTATGTTTACAAATATTGAAAAGCAATAACGTGAAATTTTAGTTGTGTTGAGTATCATAAAATTAGCTAGAAAAATGAGATTCAAAAGATAAAAAGATTACATTGTTCATAATTAGACGCATATTTTTGCTTTCAAGCAATCGACGTAAGATATTTTTGATGAGGCATGCCAATAAACAAATCAGTTGTATGAGTCACCTTTGAGCCACTTATTATTATTGTCGTCTAATAAGAATTAAATACGAATTAAATTTTCGAACAATAGGATTCCGAAATTTTCTTATTTTAGTACTGAACCATTTTGAAAGTGTTAACTTGAAGTTTGAAAATTATAATGAAGTTGCTTCTATATTTTACACTTCGGAAAATCATTTAATTAGTTACTTACCAAAATGCACCAGTTTCAAAAATATACCATGACTAATGGAAACATCCTTTTGGCAGTTATCCTGCTTTGCACTCCCCGTTTCGGTAATTTAAAATAAAGTTAACCAAAAATAGTACACTTTCTATATTCGTTATTCAACAACTACGGTATACTAAAATAGCTACTTCAAAAATCAAAATTTCAAATAATATTGAAATAAGTTGAAGGTCAAATATTTAAAGTTTTTAAAGTCGTAGATTCAGTTTTCCTCTATTTCCTTGATCAATATTTTTTAATAACGGGGCATACACTGTAGATAAACGGTTTTTAAAAAGATAGAATAAAAATACGCAACACTATTTTCACGGAGAAAACTAAATTTTTATGACAGCGCAATACAACTTTCGATTGTAAATGACTTAATTTGCCATAGAAACAGTAGAATTCATTAGGTAACTTGTAATAATCTCAATTTTGACATGTTTCTTTAAAAATTATTTCAAGTTTCTTAATTATTACAATTAAGTTTGTAATATCAACTAAAATATACTTCGTTTAGTTTCTCTAGCGATGTGACCTTTTGTTTGACCGGTGCAAAGTAGAAAAGAACAGCACTAGGCCAGAAAAGAAAGGAGACAACTGTCGGCCAAACTCTTAACCGGCGAGGAGCGCATAATCCGTACAGTACTGCACGGAAAAAGTGACCAATTTATCCACTACAATTGCATTGCTCAAATGTGCTGTTATTGGTACCAATTACTACTGAAAATATCAACGAGATGTTTATTTATATTTGAAGACATATTAAAGGCTTTAACGATTGTTTTCGACTCGCACTACTATTCATGATTGAACAAAACTTTTGGCAGGTACTGTATAAAAAAGTATGTTTAATGAACAAGAGTCGAGAGTATAAAGAGCTTTTTTCTCTCTACCTACGATTTTGCCAGCGTGCATCCAAGACATTGGAAGGGGTACATCGCTAGAGAAAGTAAATGAAGTATACCTAGTAAATTTATTTCTGCTGGGATTTTATTTTTACAAATTCAGGTCCAAATTGTAATTTTTATTATTTTCGCTTACGAAACAACGGGCTAGTGGGATAAATTGTAAATATCACATTAACATTTAGTTACTCATTTCCTCTGTGTTTCTTCAGCTTCTTTACGTTCTTACACCAACGATAACGCCTTCGAATCGATTATTTATTTTATTATTTACAGTAATAAGTATTATTAATAAATCGCATACATGTAATGCATTGGGTCAATAATTAAAAAAAGAATAAATGCATTAAAAATTTCAAATGTAGTTGTGTTTTTCAACAGCGTGTTGTTCAAAGTTCTTTTAAGTACATGATAATTTTGTAAAATATAGATAAAATAGATTTGCCACAAATGAGTCACATTTTTGGAAATAGCTTAAAAGCTACAGAAGTTTGTAACTAACGCATTATTTAAATAAATTTGAATAATCCTTTGTAAATGGACTTTGAAATTAGAAAAAGTTTTTGGCGCGAGTAAGAGTTGTTTTCACAAAAACTTTCAACGCACGTAATTCTGTCCTACTTCAAATGAATGTTAGAAAAATTATTATGGGACAAGAACAACTTTTCCAGAAAAGTAATAATGTAATTTTGAAGGGTAGGTATACCAGCCCGTAAATAACCCTTAGATCCGCTGAAATGATCACATAAGCCTAATCCTACTTCAAACGACTGCTAGAACTTAGTTACAAAAAATTAAAGTGGGACAAGAACTTCCCTGAAAAGTAAGGATGTAACACCCTATAAATAACCCTTAACCCCGATGACAAATAATCTCATAAGCATAATCCTACTTCAAACGACTGTGAGAGCTTAGTTACAAAAAATTATTGTGGGACAAGAACAATTTTCCCTGGAAATTATTAATTTGGTTTTAAATGATGTAACACCGTATAAATAACCCTAAAATCCACTGTCAAATTATCTCATAGGAATAATCCTACCTTAAGTGACTTCTCGAGTGTGGGACACGGATGACTAATAATTTAATTTTGAAAGGTACAGCACCCTATAAATAACCCTTAGACCTCCTGACAAATCATAGGCATAATCCTATTCAAAATGACTCTTGCAGTTTTTATATTCAAAGTTATTTTGAGACAAGAAAACCTTCCTCTTAAAGATAGTAAGTTAATATTCACTGATTTAATTAGTTTTTCAAATTAATTCAGTTAATATTAGCCTTCGAAATGTGGTGTTATAGGTGAATGATGAGGATAACGTGGATAGAAAAGGTTAGAATTGAAGAGGTATTAGAAAGAATAGGAGAACAGAGGACTCTACGAAAGTCAATAAAAAATAGGCGAGATAGGTTGGTAGGACACGTTCTCGGGCATGAAGGTCTAGTCAGAGACATATTAGAGGCAGAAGCAGGAGTTAGGAGGGGTAGAGGTAGACCTAGATTAGATTACTGTTCACAAATAGTTAAGGATGTGGGTTGTTCTAGTTTTAGGGAAATGCGAAGTTTAGCTCAGGATAAGAAAGAGTGGAGGTACGTGTCCAAGCAGTCTTAGGACTGACGACCTTATGATGATGAATATTAGTAATTTATTCTGCTGTTATGGTATCTGTGAAACTTAATGATAATTCACGGAAAACTGGTTAATATTCATGATTCATTTTTAAATAGTAAGGAAATTATTTATTAAATTCCAATAAGTTTGAAACACCACAAAAATCAAAACAAATAAAATTTTAACATTTATTTATTTTAGACAAATACAACATTAAACGAATTATCAAAAGCACCATTGGGGCGCAAAGGTAATTAATAATTTGAACTCTTACAAACTAAAACCACCGTTTCAATACATACATAATTGTGTTTTGAACCATAAGTAATCATTTCTTCAACCAAATGTCTAACTAAACTAATTAATTGTAAGTATGTACAACATGTTTAGAGATAAGATCACATTAGAAAAAGCTGATCGCTCCTTTCGTTATTTAACATTTATTATTGGAGTCTTCTAAATTTGTAAAATACGTTTTCAAGAAGTTTAAAGCCTCATTAGGATCAACGGATGTGAGGTATTTCGCCATATCTGTTTGTTCGACGCCATTAACGATAGAATATAAAACCGATGCATCAGTTAATAGTTCGTAAACAAAAGGAAATTGTTTTTGATTTGCAACTCCATCAGAAGCACTAGAACTTGTGTTGTTCATCACTCTTTCGTAAATTTTCAATTGAGAAATGTAACCCAAGATAAGTTGCAATCTTTCGTGTACCAGAAATGATAGATCAATTTCTTTTTCTTGTTCTTTACGTTTTTTATTTGCTATGTTCTTTTTTCGTTTAGCTTTTTTAGGAAGTTTTCGCGTTGAAGGCGATTGATTTTCTTTATTCGATGTTTTGGCCTGTTTATTTTTCAAAAACGGATCCAATTTGTCTATCGAATTAGTAGTCTCGTTATAGACAGGTCTTTCGTGCATCCCGTCATCCGGCCAGTCCCGCAAATCTGATCTATTTAAAGGACTCAGTGGATTTGAAACTATCTTTGTCAGTCTATTTGAACGACGACATTTTTTCTGTTGAAGTAAAAAATATTCTTTTATAATTGTTTATTTTTCGTTTTACTAGATGTTCAAAATTAAAGTATAGTGAAATAATTACACTCTGTATACTGAAGCCGAAAATCAAATCAAATAAAAAAAAAGTTATACGAAGTATAATACCTAAAGTACAATTAGAATTTTAATTGTAGTTTTAATCTATTGTAAAACTAGTTGATGTTTATTGAATTATTCCGATCTTTACTTGCTGAAAATTCTTGATATCAAATAGTACACATCATTAGATTAAAGAATATGTGAAAATGTGGAATTGTGTTAAAAAGAAACACTTGGCATTTTATAAATTTTCTAGGAATTATATAAAATTCCTGAATATACATTTCCGATAACGCATATGTATAATGCCTTTATAATTAATAGAACTTTGATGAATGAAATGAATTTGAAGTTGGCTTGTTCGAATTTTGACAAAAATGTTACATAAGTGACATACCAAAGTGTTAAATTAGTTTAAGAAAAGTATGGAATTTAAGGACCTTAGGTCGAAGATATCGAAATTTGGCACCCACATTACGCTAAAGGATTCATGAGGTAATGAAGATCCTATTGTACTTTTTTTAGATAAAAATTTAATATGTATCACGTGCAATTTTCCATAGATATCTATATTATTTCCCAAAAAATTTATTTCATGTAACCATGTAATATACAAATGATATTTTATTTTCTACCAACTTAATAATTTATTGTAATAATTATTTTAAAAGACAAGCTATCCAATTTTTCGATAGACTACAGAAATTGATAAATGCGTTTATTAAAAAATAGAATTCATAATATTATTAATATGCGATATATATAAGAAAGAAATTAAATTTTCAAATAGGAATTTGTTTATGAATAATAATAATTCATGAGTACTTACCGTTGGCACCGGTTTCCTTGTAGATTTTCTCACTCTAGCGTTAAAGACACTTGGTGGAATTGTCAATTTATTTATCAAATCAACAGATGCTTTTTCTAATTGAACTTTTCTTCTCGGATTTCTTCTTTTTGGAACATCAGCATTAGCTTCTTGTGGTGTCTTTACCGGTAATTTATATTCCTTTACAAAAACGACATCATCGTCGCTTTCTGCAGCAATATCGAGAGTCGTTTTATTATTGTGACCGCCGTCTTCAATGTCATCCTGTGTATGAACTTGAGTCCCTTTCGTGGCAGAATCCTTTGAGTTGCAAGGAGCGTCGAAGTGGTCTAAGCTAGTAGACTGTTTGGAAAGGTCTATGCACTCTACCGTTTGATTTTCATCTAATGAACACCATTCGATGGAATTGCTATTGACATTTTCATGGTTTACTTCGTTTTTAAAACCGTTTTCCAAATCAGCACCGTCAAAACAAAGAGTGTACTTGGGAAAATTGCAACCGCTAGAGGTCTGAATTTGCGATTCTAATCTGACCACTTTCAACTGGTTTCCGACCAGAACTCGGTCAGGATTCGATTTTTTGATGTTTTCGTATACCAAAGTATTGCTTGTTGTAGCTTCTACGAAATTTGCAAAATTTTCGCAATTTTTCAGAAGAAGCTTTCGAGAAAATGATTCGGCTCCATTAATAGTTAACTTGTTTCCGTTCAAGTTATCAAAGGGCTCAACTGTGTCATTGCTAGCCGTTTCATTGCAATTTTTGTTAAGGAAAACTGCTCCAGTTTCTCTTCCAAACAACCCTCTCTCGCCTAGCTTGCCACTGGAAGCGTGGTCGAGGAAATCCATCGATCTTTTGCTTTCGTTAGCTGAAAATATTGTAATGTTTTGCTAAACGTCTAATAGTAGGTAATTAGTCATTAAGATCGCATCCAACAGATATTACGTGCTAAACGATTACCTTGGTAAATACCACGCAATAGGAATTCTAAACGACGAGTAATGTTTTCCTATAAAAACTCCTCACTCAATATTCTAGTAAAACGTCAATACACTCGAAAACCGAAATACTAAAAACTGTGTCGACAATTTTAACAATTCAAAAACGCAGCAATCCGTTTCTAGGGGACATAATATGACCGAAGCCATTATTATTATTACGTATTTGGAAATGTTTTTGACACTTAAGAAGTAAAAACAGTGCTCGTGATATGTTTAGTGGGCACTTAACATCATTAATCAATTACTAGACGAAACCTCTCAAAAATAGTTCGTTACGATTAACGAAAAGCTCCGGATGTGCATGAAATATTTTGTTGTCAAAATGCCATAAAAATGTCTACGGTGTGGTGAGCACCAGTTATCTTTTTTTTTTATTTTGTAAAATATTTTCGAAATAACACGACGATAAATAAAACGCACGCTTTGTAAGTCAAGTTGCCAAATTTGAAAAAGCTTAGAAAACTAGCCAATGTTTGTGGTTATTTAAGAAACCTGAAGGAATTTTTTAATGGCATTACAAATTGTTGTTTTTGACGGATGTTGAAAAATATATTCGATAAACTTTGTGGCTTCTTCTTAAAAATTTATATGTCACATCACAGTTTTTAAATCGTCACGTTATTCAATATGAAAATAAAAAATGGATTTATATCGGAGTATAGACCATTACCAATGCTTTGTATTTTTTATTTTTCTGTATTATATTTATCTGTAACCTACGCAGACGCTTTGAGTTTGTTTAATGACGTCATTTGTCGAGACCGAAGAGAGGAATTATTATTAAAAACAGACAAATACGTCACAATAACGCAATAACTAAGCTGTTTTTAGAAGGTCAAAAATATAAATATATATTTGCCTACCCACCTAACATTGTAATATTTTCAGAAATATTTATTATAAGTGAATAGTTACGAGTTTAAATAGTATTTCCTTATCCGCACTCCATATGTTATCCTTTTTTAAGTCAAAAACGGTATCCTTGCTCATGCATTATTATTACTATCAAATTATGCGAATTTTGGCACTTCTGAACCGATTGTAAAGTAAAGGTACAAATCTTGAATTCAAATTCGGGCTCGCTTCCCCAGGAGCATCGGAATTCCCTCAGATTGAATATGATTATAATACGTTGCTAGCAAAAAATGCACCGAAAGCTTGAAATGTAAAAAAATTTCTAAAGAGCTCCAAACAGAAGGATTCAAAAACCCAATAAACATAATTCATAATAAATACTCAACCAGCTGTTTCCATCCTGCTGGAAGGACGCTGTATTTAAAATTTTCCTTACCAAAAGTAATATTTTGTAAGCTTTTTGAAGTGTAATATTCATATTTGATCTTTCATTTTTTTAAAATCGAATTAAAGTCGCAAGAATTTAATACGTCATTGATTACAGCAGTTACAATAAAAAATATATTTGTGTAAAAGACAAACAAAATTTATAGGATTGGCAAATTGCCGGTTTGGCATGACTTTTTGTACGACTATTGAACTTGAAAAAAGATTTTGAAATGTAATAAACAATTTCGACCACCACTTATTACGTTATCTATGACAAATACGAAGAAATATTTGACTTTTCAACTCAACCCATTAAACCAACTAAAAATAAATGGCATACTATATTTATAAATCGTACGTAATTAACATACTAGTTAATTAAAAATTTTATTTATTATTTTAAAGACAAAAGCGACTCCTTAGGGAGGAAGAAGACCTCTTAAAAATGCCCACGCGAGTCGACAAAACGTTGAATGAAAATCCCAAAAAACTATAGCTGCGAAAGCTTAAATCAGTTAATGTGTAATAAATGTTTGATTCTTAGCTGACTAACGAACCAAAAAAATTCAGTCTTCTCTCCTTCGTAGGTAGTAAACTTATTAAACATTCGTATTTTCCACATATTTCTTAAAGAAAGCTTTGCATACACTATGAAAATTGTTTGGTATTTACTCGACTATAAGGTACCCTTGAAGCTATGTTTGTGCCTGTTGACCATGGCCGCGAAAGCTTTACAAATCATCGCACTGCATTCAAAATATATTTATCGCAGTTTTAAAAATCATTCCTAACGGAAAATCACTGTATCCGTAACTACTAATGGACTTCCGGTGTTGTTAAGCATCAAACTGGGTAAAGTTTATAATAAAAAAATTCTGTAGGCAGTTATATCGACAAAAATAGAATTTCATTGAAGAAAATCTAGACCTATCCTACGTAGTGTGTAGAATGAAAAACATAAAATAAATCTAATGAACAGCACGTTTATATTTGCATTTCGTACTCGTTCGTACAATCGAAAAAATAAGAAATACGTCACAATTATGAAAAAAACTACTGATCGGCTGTGTACCGACGAAACGTTGGTCAGACGTCTCTAACCAAACGATTAAGTCTAATTGACAACTTAACTTTACATCTTAAATTTTCTGTTGTACAACTGTAGGGATAGATATACCAAATGGCAAAGATTAGTATGCTTAGATTTGCAGATGATGTAGCAGTATTAGGATCTAGCAAGGAGGAGTTAGAGATAGCTTTAAATAAAATGTATCTAGGAAGTCAGCTAAGTCAGGACGGAAGGAGTAATAGGGATATAACAGGGTCGAGTCGCCTTCAATAAAAAGAAATCACTTCTATGTTCTGAACGATTAATTTAGAAATTCGAATATAAAGGTGTATGTTTGGAACGCGGCGCTGTACGGATGCGAAACATAGACGGCGGGCGCGGCGAAAAAGAAAAGGTTAGAAGTGTTCGAAAAGTTATGTTACAGAAAGATGAGGATACTGTGGGTAGATAAGCTTAGAAATGAAGAGGTATTAGAAAGAATAGGAGAACAGAGGACTCCATGGAAGTCAATAAGAAGAGATAGAGATAGAAGAAGGTTGGTAGGACATCTTCTCGAGCATTAAGGTCTAGTCAGAGACATATTAGAGGCATAAATAGGAGTTAAAAGGATTAGAGGTAGATCTACATTAGATTACTGTTCGAAAATAGTTATGTATGTGGGTTGTTCTAGGCTTGAGGAAATGCGTAGATTAGCTCGGCATAGGAAAGAGTGGAGGTGCGTGTCCAACCAGTCTTAGGATCTACGACCTTATGATGACATATTACAAACAAAAATTATGGCGGAATCACCGGGAATCTTTTCCGATTAGTTAAATATTGTAAATTATGTAATTAATAGAATTATGTAATTAATTATACTGGATGGCTACAACAAAAGAACTATCACAGAATTTGGGATTTATTTCTGTGGTTATCTTGGCAATACAGATTATATAAGTATTAATTGTTTTTATTTTATTTGAGTTTGTATAATTAATACTTACAACGTCCCAAAAAATTATAATAACTTGAGAAGAATGTTTACGACCA